AGATATAGTAACTGAATATTTTCCTTTGTAATACAGGTCTACTAGTGAGAAGAATGGAATTGGGACAGGGGATGCCGGATAACAGTTCACTTGGGTTCAGAGACGTCACACAAGCTGGCAGTGAGCAGGACATGGCCCGCAGTCCCCTGACCCCTACGAGAACAGGTGTTATGTTGGTCATGGTGGGAGCCAGGTGATGGGATACTGGGGTTAGTTATATTGTTCTCTCCTTGATGAAGGTTTGAAAACTTCTCATGGTTAAAAGGCTTTTGGCTCCCTGCTAGCTCCCTGCCTGACTGATGGTATTACACATAGAGCAAGGAAATCGAGGGGAGAAACAGCACATGAGGCAGTGGCATGAAGACCAACTCCACGAGCCCCGGTCCTGGGGTCCTTGTCAGATGTCAGCTACCAGCACTGCTCCCCTCCCCAGAAGAGGTGGGCCTAGGGTGTGCACCTCCCCCACCCCGCTAACCAGGGCGATTTTATCCCTGACCAGTTAGTTTCATCCACAGAGCCTGAACGAGTGTCGCACGACATCTCAGAGCACGAGTCACCACATCCACTGAGCTGAGACTTTTCAGGGCTGTGCTCAGGCCGGCCAGATACAGGAGCGAGGACAGGGGTGCGTGTGTAGACACACGCATCAGTGATGCATACATGGACCTGACCAGCACAGAGTCTGGGCTCAGTCACCAAGGAACAGCTGGCGGCCCTTCTCAGGGCGCTGATAGGGCAGCCACCCAGCTGTGAGCAAGACAGGCTTCTGGAAGACCCAGCCCAGCCACTAGACCTCAGGCACACAACAACCCAAGCAGGGATATCAGCACAGCTACGGACAACAGGGACACATGCACCAATGCGACGCATGCCTACCCTAGGACTTCATGGAGGGAAAAGTGGGAAAGCTCCACCACCTCTCAAGCTCACCTCCTGACCAAGCCAGCCATGACTCGACAGATGCAGATGCTCCGGCCAAGCAAGGGTCTGGGGGCCCTGGCTCCTGCATCCTCGGGCATGGCCATGGCCGTCGCCCCCACCCCTCCTCCTTGGCTCCTCCCCCTGGAGAGCCTGCGGGCTGGCTCTCTCGGCTCCACCAGCAACAGCAGGAGAGGTTTTCCATGTTTCTCATCAGCTCGTTAATGATTTTCGAGCTTAAGTTACTCAGGCCAGGCCCCAAAGCCACTCTGGACTCGGAAACTTGTGACCTACAGCTCAGCCAGCTCCAGTCTGCTCCCAGGGAAGTGCCCTCTAGGTTAATAGCTCTTCCCAAGGGGCCCGAGGCTGCCTGGGCAAGAGGGTAGAGGGGCAGCTGGCTAACCTTTGCTTCCGACCCTAAGCCCTGACTTGAAACTCCCTACTCCACCCTGTTCTTTCCATCCATCCCTTCCCCCAGTAAACCCTATTGTCCCTCCATTCAAAAGCCTCTGTGTCTTCATTGTAAAGGTGCAACCTGGCAGACATGGTAAGGTTTATCACAACCTTGCAAACAGAAAAAGAATTGGGGCCTGAAAACAAGGAATTCAGCTCGAGGCTTCTGGTTCACTAGATGGTGGCCTGAGCACATGGGGAGATCATTCTCTAAGATCACACCTTTAAAAACAGCTGCTGGAAAAGGAGCCACAACAGAAGCCACAGCCTAGAACCCGTGGGATGGAGGCTACAATTCTGGGCAGGCTGCCCCATCCCCACAGCCCCCGACTCTGGCCTCAGACCTCAGAGGAAAGACAGTGGACAGGAGTGGGAAGTGCTCTGGCTTTTCTGTATTTTTAAACGAAAAAAATAAACTCTAGCTCATCTGACTCCTGTATAAGGAGGATAAGTTGCTGAAATGAAGCAGCTAAAACATTTCTGTACCAAATTATGATGTGTATTTATTTTCTACCTCTCTGTAAGCTGCAAAATTTTATCTAGAACCATTAGGGAAACGCAAAAGGGACATTTGGCTGGCTCAGTCAGTAGAGTTTGCCAACTCTTGGTCTTAGGGTTTGAGTTCAAGCCCCATGTTGGGTGTAGAGATTACTTAAAAATATTAAAAAAAAAAAAAAGATTAAAACACACAAACAGAAAAACAGATACCAGTGGGGGTTCCAGAAAATGAAGACTCCACTCATAGAAAATTTAAGGTAACAGGTCTTAATTATACCCTCATCTGGAATTAAGAAATAAAACTATTACCCTATCACATTTTTACAATTAAAATTGAGACTGTCCTCACTTGGCCTGGGAGTGGCATGACTTAGGTCTAGTGACTCACAGATGTCCTGGAAGACTGGCAATGGACACCAAAGGTCCAGTCCCGATTCTGTGTGACCTTGGGCAAAGGATTCCATTTCCTTGTGACTGAGTTTCCACCAGAAAGGAAATGACTGGTCCTGACTAGGATGACTGTGTAGAGTCAGAACATGTACCAAGAAATCCTGCAGAATAGGAGCATGATACAACCCAGTACTGCTGAGAAGCTTAAGTAGGAGAAGAAAGAGAGACGGTCATAAAAATGGGGGGCATAGGAGGATTTTAAAAGAGGAGGAGGGGGAACAAAAACAAAAACACACAGTTCCCAGTGACAGCCCCATGTCCCAGAAGAAAAGACCCAGTTAAGAATCAAGGGCCTTTAGCAAGGGTCAGCAACTGATGAGGGAACTGGGCATCCGCACGCAAGAGAACGATGCTAGACCTCTACCTCATACCATATACAAAAGGTAGCCTAAAATGAATTAAAGGCCACTGAGAGCTGAAACTGTAAAAAATCTTCAAAGGAAACATAAGCATAAATCTTGACCTTGGATTACACAGTGGTTTTTTCAGATATGACACGAAAGACTCAAGCAACAAAAAACACACATCTTAGGCATCATCCAAATTAAAAAATTTGTGCTCCAAAGGACATCTTAAGAAAGTGAAGACAATCTCCAGAATGGAATAGAAGTTTTACAGTCCGTGTATCTGATAAAGGACCTCCATCTAACTATACAAAGAACTTGTGTAACTCAGCAATAAAAAAAGGACAGATGACCCACACAGGATCTAAACAGATACCAAAGAAGACATGCGAATGGCCAATAAGCACATGAAGAGAGGCTCAACATCATTAGCCATCAGGGAAAAATGCAGATCAAAAACCACAGAGAGACCCTACTTCACACCCACTAGAATCCTCTCATCAAGAAGGCAGGTAATTAGCAACCACCAGCAAGGATGTGGGGAAACTGGAGCCCTCCTGAGCTGCTGCTGGGAATGTGTAAACAGCCTGGCTGTTTCCCAAAAGTTAAACAGAGTTCTATACGGCTCAGCAATTCCTCTCCTAGGTATATACTCCAGAGAAATGAAAACCTATGTGTATGTAAAAACTTGTACAACTATGTTCATAGCAGCACTGTTCATAACAGCCAGAGAGTAGAACAACTCACAGATCAATCAACTGGTGAGAGGATACACAAAATGTGGTAGGTACAGCCATAGAACGGATAGTACAGCTCTAAAAAGGACTGAAGTATGGATACATGCTCAACATGGAAGACCCTAGAAAACATTAAGCTAGTTTAAAAAAAAAAAAAAAAGCCAGCAACAAAAGGCCAGTATGATTCCATATACATGATAGGCCCAGAATAGGTAAATCTATGAAAGGAGATTCACGGTTGCCTACATCCAAGGAAGTTGAGGGGGAGCCGCTGGAGAGGGAGGGTGATCGCTAAATGGAATAGGGTTTCTTTGGGGGGCAAGGAAAATCATGTCAAATTGAATGTGCTGATTCTGTGGATTCACTAAAAACCACTGAGCTGTATACTATACACGGGAACCCTGTATGGTCTATGAACTGTATTTCAATAAATCTGTTAACTGCTGTCCCATCCTCCCCCTAAACAGAAGAGGAACCAGGAGCCTGCTGTACTCTGGAGGAACTCACCCACTGTCCTAACATAACCATGACCAGAGAGCCCCTTCTGCCATCTCAAGTGTCTTGGTTTATATGATAAATTTCTACCACTGCCCTATCACTACATGGTATCAGTCAGGTGGCTTTGCCCCTCTAGGCTTCAGTATTCTCCTCTGTAAAACAAGGTCTACGCAGTTCTGATCATCTTTGGCCCTAACACTGTATTCCCCAAAAGCTCCACTTTACAAGTTGTACAGTCCTGCGTGGCTGGTCACAGGGCTTCCCAGTGCTATGGAAGATAAACTTAAGTTAGCAAAAGGCAGAGATGACTGGGTCCCAGAAACAGAGGCAAGACGAAGACTAGTTCATGAGTTTACTCAATTAGTAACTGAGTTACTTAAATTTCCCCATAATTAAGCCGCTAAGAGAGGTGATCCAACCATCCCCATGCAGGCAAAATGCCTGAACAATCCCTCTACACATGAAAAGATGAACATTTAAATGGGGGGGCCCCAGACAAGAGACAAAGTGCCCGGGAAACTTGGCAAATTTGGCCGTAGTTAACCAAGGTCTTCTCTAAATGGGACCTGGTTAAGTCCTCCCAAGGCCTGCTATCATGACTGTCAAGGTCATCTGATCACATGGTGGGACGCTTATTTCCTAGTCCTCCTTTTACCCAAGATTGCTGAGGAAAAAAAATTATATAAAAGAAGCTCAAAAAAAAAAAAAGAAAAGAAAAAAGAAGCTCAAGGGCAAAAAAAAAAAAAAAAAAGAAAAAAAATCATCTTGTCTCATTCCTTTTATACTTGTGACAATGTACCTGGGAACAGTTTTTTCTCTCCCTCCCTCCCAATGGCGTAGACCCAGGTCTGGTGGTGGGTCCTACACATGGACTGTGCTGTATACATGGCAAATGCAGAGACTGGAAAACTCATCTCTGGGCACTGTGGCAGCAGGTCCTTAGAAACAAGAGTCAAGGTGAGAGAAGCAGAAGGCACAGAATAAATCCCATTCCCATCAATCCATCCAAGAATCAGAAAGACGACGCTCACCAGGGTCTCTGAGGAGGGAGACCAACAGGAAGACAGAATGGAGGCAAACCACCATTCCATTCAGCAGTCCTTGTCAAGGAGAAGGCTAGGGGTGAGCCAGGGCCTTCCCTGGAGGCAGGGGAGTGGCAGAAGGATACAGTGGCACCAAGATACCCAAAGAACTAGCAGGGTTTCAGAGAAGATGTCCCCGCTATGTGCCTCTTTAGAACAGCAGGCAAAGAACAAAGAACCATTCAAAAGCTGGAGGCCAAGAGGAAGGGAGAGAGGAGCCACTGGCTTTCTGCATGCCAGAGACAGCACCCCCGGGTTTCTGCTGGTTACTGGTCCGTGGTTTTCACAGACTGGGCCAAGTCCCTCCTGGTCACAGCTTGCCAGGAGAGGCCGCAGCTTATAGTGGGGCAATCTCTACATCCGAGGGAATCCACAGGGCTAGGGGTGGGAGGCTCTCCTTTACACATGCTACTTCTGCTCAGAGGCCACATTTCAGGATGATGTGGTAGCCATCATTGCTCTCGGCTGCGAAGAGAAACATGGGGCATTTTTCAGGTGAACGGCATGATGCCATGACCTTGGGGAATCAGGCAAGGAGGGCATGGTACTGGGGTACCAGCAGAAGCCCTGCCATGGATATTGGCTCCAATGTAATTGCATGGAGTGAAGTGTGCTAACAAAAACAGGTATTTTTAACACATGCCTTCACATGCCTTCTGCCTTATTGAGTTTCTTTCTGCCAATGGGTCTTTCTACCATCACTCTAGGCCCAAGAACTAAAGGCTCCATATTCAAGAAGGCTTCGGACAAACTGTGGTTCTCAGGGTATTCTGGCCCCCAGCTCTCTGAATGTGGCTGCTGGCTAGATCCAAGAGAATAGGGGAGAGAGGGCTGGCCCTGTCACCGTTCAGGGTCTATGACCCTGTTGTGGGGCTTTCATTCTGATATACTCCCTACATTTTTACCTGCCCCACCCAACCCTATTATCACCATATATGGTGATATACCCTCACCCAGACCTAGACTTAGGTCACAGCTAGTCCCCCCTTTCTCCTGGCACAAGAGTTCCTTCTCAGACCCCTTCCTCAGGGGAACCTTCATGCTCTTCCACTGCCCCAAATCCCTGATCCACTAGGCCTGCAGGCTCAGCTGCTGTATTCCACACTTGCTCCTCCTGGAGACCCCCACTGTGGAAAAACTCAAACGCACCTTACTTTTACTCAGGCACTGAGTTTATAGAGCACACGCTGCCTGGCCAGATTTCCCTTTCAGAACCGACTTTGGAGCCAATCTCAGAAGTTCTCACATCAACAGGGCAGGCTTTCAGAGCAAGTATGTGTTCCTTTTCCCCAGAGGATGTTGCCAGATGGCTCTCGAGGGACCCACTGTGCAGGCAGGCCCCACTTACATAAAGTAAACAAGAAAAAGGGGTGGGGGGGTCTTTACCTTTTAAGGTACTGAGGATAAAACAAGACTCATCTTGGAAATTCTGCACCATCTGAAAGGCAAAAAGAAAGACCATGTCCCTTCAACCATGAGTTCATAATGTGAAAAGCCACAGCGACACAAGAGCCCAGCCACCGCAGCAGGCAGAAATGACAATCACCATGTTTGCACAAATGCAGGGAAATGGTTCCATTTAACATTCACTAAGGAAACACGAAACAAGATAAATGTGTGAAATGATCGCCATCGTAAGTAACAGAAACTGTACATAAAGGACAAAAAGGAGCCAGGCAAGGAACCAAAACATTAACATGGTAGTACAGGACTACATGTTTGTGCGCTTTCGTTTCCCTTTTTCGTACTTACTGAGACCTCCAATCCCTCTATGGACACATTACAGGAGCATGTATGTGTGTTAACAGCAACAAAGAGAAAACTAAAGTGCTTAAACACACACACACACACACACACACACACACACAGAAACACACACAAACAACTTGGTAATTAGTATCTCTGCGTATCAGAGTCCTATGAGGACCAATACCAACATAACACCACTCCTTGTGTCTACAAAGTGGCAGGAAGGGAACGATTATTCAGCCGCCCCTACAGTTCTCATCTTGATTAACTACCAGGTGACCCTGAACGAGTCAATCTTTCCCCTTCTGGTCTCTGAGCCCAACTGTAAAATGGGGTTGCTCCCATGCAAAAGAAGAGAACCAGGATACAGAACATTAGAACTGGCTCCCACTGCTGGTGGAATGTCTCTACAACCACTTTACAAAGCTTCCACATGATCTGGTACGCTACTCCTCCCGGCCAGGGTTCCAGAGAAACCCCTGCATATGGTTTCTCCAGGGGTTTCTCTAGAACCACCTAAGAACGTTGACAGCAGCACTGGCTATTAAGAATGAAACTGGAGGGGCGCCCAGCTGGCTCAGCCCGAAAAGTATGCAACTCTTGATCTTGGGGTTGAGTTGGAGACCCAAGTGAGGTGCAGGCATTACTGACATAAAAACTTAAAAAAAAAAAAAAAAAAAAGAAAAGCGGTAACTGGAAACCACCCCAATGTCAATCAGTTATTTTGTGACCTCATCACGCTATGCCATCCAGTGGGCCAGGGGCCTCCAGCAGCACCTAAACACATCAATCTCAAAGATTTTAAGTGAAATGAAAGAAGGTCACAGAAAAACATGCTATTATTCACCTACATGAAGTTTTAAAACAGGCAAAATTAAGCAATACACTGAGGAAATGGGGATGATTAATTCAGACCAGCAGGTGGAGAGGTGGCGCGGAAGAGGAAATCAGCCCTCAAAGAGGCTTCTAACAGAATCCTGAATCAACCCGAGTGTCAGTACTGGGCACTTCTTCCTTAAACTGTAAAAGTCCCACATACTCCTTGCACACATGTGCTGTACTTCACAATATAAATGGAAAGAATACTTAAAAAATAAACAACAAAAACTTAAACATACCCACTAGCTAACACGCAGCAAACTCCTTTTCGAATTAAAAAATGCCACCCATATGTCATTGCCTCCTCTGGATTACTGCCCCAAATCCTGCAAGTCCACCAACCTGTGGACCCCTGCCCCTCCCTGCGGGGCCTAATGGCGCGTGCAGTGCATTTATTCTATGCTGCCGGCCTGCGCCCTCTGGGGCTCTTGGCAGCCCAGCTACTTGGGCATCCAAGGCCCTACACACATCCCACACGGGCTTAATCAGTAACTCCCTTGTTTAATTAAGTGCCCTTGCACCTCGGGGGCCGGCTCTGCGGCTGGCCGGGCTGCCTCCAGCACTCTGGGCAATTAAGAACCAAAGGTTTCCAATTGATTCAGGGTTAAGAGGCAAGGAGACTTCGGGGAATAAGAATCGCCTACTTAGCGGAGGTCAGCACTGTGGTTCTGTTCTCTGCTTCACTTGCTTCACTGCCCACTCGGGAGGGCAGGGGCAAGCCGGGGAAGGGACTCCCCGCGGGGACCCATGACATGGCAAGGGTTCCGCACATTCTTGGCTTTTGTCTTCACCAAAGAAACTCATTCCTATGCCCCCACGGCAGCCCACTGCTCAGGTGTCTGAACCTCCCGGGCTATTCTCAAGGAAGTGCTCAGGTCAGGAACTCTGGGCTTCATTCTGTCTGTGAAGTGGGGGTAGGGAAACAGCCACGTGAAATTTAAATGGAATGACAGGAAAGAATTCTGACCCGGGAACCAAACGAGCAAGTGTGAGATAAATGTACAGCTGGCTCAGGAATCCATGCCTGAACAATGCTCAGGCCCATGACAGATGCCTTCTCAGAACATTATCTGGCAGATTCACATCCAAGCAAGCCAGTACGAACTCCTCTAGGGAAAGAGTAGGGAAAAGACGTGCCTTTTGCGTTTGTCCTCTGCTATTTTAGATTTCTTGACTGACACTAAACTGTGAATCACTTTTTTTTTAAAAGATTTATTTTTAAGTAATCTCTGCACCCATGGGGCTCAAACTCACAACCCTGAGATCAAGAGTCTCATGCTCCCCCAACTGAGCCAGCCAGGCAACCCATGAATTGCTTTTAAATTCAAGAGGAAGGAAACCACCACCAGTTTGCCAGCCTCCAGGACTTAACTCCCATGAAATGGGGGCACTCCCATTTAAGGGGCTCAGGTAACTGTAATGACAAGTGGCGACAGGATTAACACCAATAATGACAATATATCAACTACACGGACTATTACAAGCCTTACAGTTTATATACTGTCACATTTAAGGATTTCTCCATCACTTGCTCCCAAAAGTTCAAAGTGCCCAGCATCGTCTATTACCACCACCACCACAAGCTTAACCGGTGTCTCCCAGTGCCTGACATGTTTTCTCATGTTATCCTTACCACAACCTGCTCAGTGGGTATAATTATCCCCGTTTTACAGATGTGGAAATGGAGGCTTAAAGGGGCTAAGTAAACCTGCCCAGGGTTACTCCGCTCCTAGCAGCAAGGTCCGAGTGGGGACACATGTGATTCCAGAGCCCACATTCCACTCCCCCAGACACCATTTCCTCTACAGTCCTCTACACAGATGCTCTCAGAGCTCCCACTATTGGCTTGCTGGGGTCTTCTGGAGGCTCAGGGTGGCCAACCAGCATTCCCATCAGCCCCACTCTGTTTCTCTAAAGGCCTCATTTCCAGGAAGGTGGGCTAGCCATCTGGCTACAAGGCTGGGCTCTGCAGCTGGACACCAGAATTCCCACCCTAGCTCCACCCTTTATCGGCTATGTAACCTGGGGCGATTTACTCAGCCTCTCTGTGTCTCAGTCTCCTTTCTGTGAAATGGGGTTTCACCCAATTCATAGGGAGGCTGCCAGAATTAAATGAGTGGCTACACATGCACTTAGGACAATAAACAGCAGATAAATGCTGGCACTCCTATTATCATCAAGAAGAGGGGTCCAAGATAGAACAAGCTTAAATAAGGCATCAGGAATGCCTAAATGCAGATGCAAATCCTCCTCAGCCATGAGTGGGATCAGATCACTCTGTGCCCTCTGCCAGCAGCTGCTTGTGCCCCACACATGTCTATGCAGCCCAGGGAGACCCAGGAAGGCCATGGCATCTTTGCCAGTCAGCAGAGGAAGGCTCTGTGCTCCCATGTGACCTGCCTCCTCTCCATCATCCAGCCCACAGTCCATTCCCCCATCCCTGGGACCTCCTCCTCCTCCAGCCGCCCTGACTTCTTGGAGTCCTGACCGTCAGCATTGTGAAGGCAGGTTTGTGCCACGGTTCCTGCAAGGCACGCGGCTGAGGATGGGAGGCAGAGTGGGTACCAGACAGCTTATTCAGAGCCTCAGAACTCTCCCCCCTGCACTCCAGGGGCAACCAAGGGCATGTGGCATGCAGAAAAAAACGCAGAAGTCATTCCCCAACCCCGGAGGGAGCATTTCTGGCGCCTGTCTGCCATGCCTCCCTACAGCCCCAAGGTCATGAGTGGGGGTGTGGGCAGCGCTCACCTCATTGCTCACCACCACGTGGATGCCCGTGGGGCCCTGCCGGTAGACTCGGTGGATATGCTGGGGGGAGATGCTGTACAGGTTGGCGATCTTCTCAACCAGCTCCAAGGTAGTCAGCTCTTCCAAGAAGATGGCATGGTACACTAGAGGGCAAGGGACAGGGCCTTCTATAGAACACACCCTGCTTTCTAAGGAGCTTGCCTACCCCCCAGCCCCCAAGACAGTCATTCAGTTGTAAGGATGCTCATGCCCAGACCCATTCCGTAGGACCTGGTTTTAACAGGCACCAAGGCTCTCGACAGCCCAGCAGCAGGGGGAAGGCAGCCAGGCTATGGTTCTGCATTCCTGTACTAGTCCCTCTGGGGGGATCTTACATAAAATGGAGAATTCCTGCATCCACCCCATACCCAATGATGCCCGTGGCGGGACAGAGGCTGGAGGGAGATCGGCTGGCAGAACTCTGTATTTCTAACAAGCTGCTAATGATTCTGACTTGTGACCAGACGCACACCCTTACAGGAGTGAGAAGAAATCATGCATCCCCTTTCCTTTCTTCCCATGGCTTAGAGGGGTCACTGGATGGCTCCAGGAGGCAAAAAGTGGGATTTAAGAATAACTGCTCCTTTTAAAAGAATTTTACTTAAAATCAATTAACATATAGTGTATTATCAGTTTCAGAGGTAGAGTTTAGCGATTTATCGGTCTTAATGTAATACCAGTGCTCATTACATCACATGCTCTCCTTAATGCCCGTCATGCAGCTACCCCACCACCTCACCCCCTTCCTGTAACCCTCAGTTTGTGTCCTAGAGTTAAGAGCCTCTTATGGTTTGTCTCCCTCTCTGCTTTCACCTTTATTTTTCCCTCCCTTCCTCTATGCTCCTCTGTTTTGTTTCTTAAATTCCACCAGTAAAATCATGTAATTGTCTTTCTCTGATTGATTTATTTCGCTTGGTATAATATCCTCTAGTTCCATCCGTGTCATTGTAAATGAAGATTTCATTTTTTTTGATGGCTGAATAATATTCCTGTGTGTGTGTGCGCATGTGTGTGTGTGTTTGTGTGTAACCACATCTTTATCCATTCATCTGCCAATGGACACCTGGGCTCTTTCCACAGTTGGGCTACTGTGGACATTGCTGCTCTGAACACTGGGGTGTACATATCCCTTCAGATATGTAGTTTTATATCCTTTGGGTAAGTACCTTGTAGGGCAATTGCCAGGTCGTAGGGTAGCTCTATTTTTTAACTTTTTGAGGAACTCCATGCTGTTTTCCAGAGTGGCTATACCAGCTTGCATTCCCATGAGCAGCGTTAAGAGGGTTCCCCTCTCTCCGCAAGGGATAACTGCAACCTGACATCACAAGGGGTCTCATCCTTGCCCTTCTCCACAGCATAAATGCCACACCACCCCAGCATTGTGGCCACAAAGGGAAGAGAGGCCCTGGGAGCATCACCGCCCTGCTGGAAACTAACACCGACCTGGAGGCTGGAAATGCTTCCTTACGGGAAACCCAAGCCAGCCAGGGAGGAGGCAGCTCTGCGGGCGCCCCGGGGCAGGAGCCTCCACACTCGGGGGCCTCAAGGTCCTCAAAGGCAAAGCATAACTGGACTAACTAAAGGTTCCCAAACTACTAACTCAACTGAGGAACACCTGGCTTCAGAAAGCCCTGTGTTTCAAAAGCATGCATGCACGTGAGCATGTGCACACACATGTGCACACATACGCACACATGCACACACACACATGCATGCATGCTCCGAGGCCACGGCCTTCCAGCCACACATCAGACTGGCCGTCCCAGGCTTTCAGACGGGCTGAGTGGCCGTCAGATCCGGTGCAGAGCGTGTGGCCACGCCCCAGCCCCCAGTGTGGACAGCAGGTGAGGAGGCCAGGGCCCCTCTCTAGGACACCCTTCTGTGACAGACTCCAGTGGGCTTCTGCTGCACTGTCAGGAGGGCTTGGGGCGGCCGAAGGGTCCATGGGACACTCCTCTGGACTCCTCCCGGGCCGTGCCAGCAGTACTCTGGGATACGAGGCTCTAGACTAGGCCATCCCAGGCTCACAACCCAACTCAGCCACTGGAGAAGCCAGCCCTGGAACAATCCGCAGGTCCTGGGGCCCCAGGGTCTGTGCTAGGGCAGCACCAGCACTCAGGGCCTCTGCGAGCATGAATCACGAGCTGTGCTGGAGCGCCAGGCTGCCCCACTGCCCCCAAGGCTCAGGATCTATCCCTCACGGGCAAACAGCTGAGAAGCTGCAGGAGGACCTAGCCATCGTTCAGAAATGTCCAGGGGCCAGACGCAGGGCTCAGAAGCCAGTTTCCAGGGTCCCAATGTTTGGGTCCTGGCTCTGCTACACACAATGCTGTCACCTGGGGTACAGTGACCCACCCTGTGCCTCAGTGTTCCCCACCCCCCCCCCGGGAAATATTCCCAACAGTGCCTACGAGGAGATGCGAGTAAGCGAGCACATGGGAAGGAAGCCCTTTAGACGGACTTGGGGAGCCTTCCTACTCCACCAATGCTCCCCCATTCTCTGCAGACATGCACAGAAGAGCACGGACTCTGCAGCCTGAGACCGGCAGCTGGCCAGACCCGCAGAACGCACAGACGCTCAGAAGCAAGGCGCTTCGCTATTCGTGCCTTGTCTCACCGAAACCTCCCATCTCTGGGGGTAGCATCGCTATCTGTATTCTGTACGTGCAGAAGCGGGTGCACGGACCCTGGTACCTTGCCCAAAGCCACACAGCCAATACGCGGCATGGCCAGCCCTGGGGCCCGCACTCAGCCGACCTCAAAGCCTCTGTCCTCTCACCAAACTGCCAAGCCAAAAAAGTCACATGCCCCTGAGGCACCCCGAGCTAAGCCACCAAACCAAACGGGAAAGACTGGTCCGGCTGGGGGGTCACCACAGGAGGAAATGCTCTGGGAATCCAGCCATCGAGCGGTCACTCATCACCAGCCTGGGAGCCCGAAGGCCTGATTCCCAACTCTCCCAGGAGCGGCTAAGTGCGTGTGTATGGGGGGCGCGTCCCCTCTCTGAGCCTGCTCTCCAGGTAGCAATTAGGCTAGACCAGCTGTTCTGGGAGAGGGTTTCCACCTGCAACGTTTTAATCCCAGGAGGGAGTTTACCAAGAACTCATGCTGAGTGAGCTGGCTCAGCGGACACATTCTCGGCAAGACGACTCACACTGCTGCTGAGCCTTCCTGTGACCCGGCCACCCAGAAACCAGCCCCAGGCTGGCAGGGCGGAGGCAGGCCCCCCACAACTCACCACAAAGACTGCTGTCCCCACCACCATCCCGCTTCTGCTGCAGTGGCGCTCGGCTCGGCTCCAGCTCCTGACAGACGTAAATGGTCATCTTTGGCCTCACATTCCTGGCAGGAGGAGGGGAAATAAACAGCAGGTACTGGGGGAGAGGGTGCGGGGGGGAGAACATTCCAGAAATGTTCCAGAACATAGGGTGGAACTGGCAGACGGAAGGATTCAGGGAGAAGAAAGGAGGCCGCCAGACGCAGAAGGCCTTTATATGGGCCCCCATGGCGTCAGGCAGGCTTGCCTAGAGGCAGCAGGATGGCCAGCGATTCCAGGTCCTGTAAGCTGCCATGAGGGCTCTCTGCCCAGAACACCCATCTCAAGACACAAAGTGTTTTTCAGGGCGGTAACAGGAGCAAACACTTTCTCTGGCTTACCCTGCCCCAGGCACCATTTCCAGAACTTCACGTGCCTCCCTCATTTCATCTCACACACGTAGGGCACTGGAATCACAGCCCTCATCTTACAGAAGAGGAAACTGAGGCTCATAGGGGTCAGGGCTTTGGGGAGCGTAAAACTCGGAAGAGGCAGATCTGAGACGCACACCCAGGCCCTCACCCTCACTCTAAAACTGTGCTATCCGTGCGTGACAGGGAAATGAGATTTAAAATTCACTCGGTCAATGACATTAGCCTGAGACCAAGCACCCCACAGCCATGTGTGGCCAGGGCTGCTGGACTCAACAGCATGGCGCCCAACATTTCCACCCAGCCCTGCTCTCTGGTCTGCTCAAAGAACAGAGAGCTGCAGCAGAGTCCCACCCCTCCTTCTGGAAGGAGGCAGTTGGGATGATGCAACCAGCTGGGCACCTGAGGGGAAGGCTGAGGGGCGCAGATCCAGACACCAAGGCTCCAGCCAAACCGAGAAGCAGGAGGGACCTGCAGGGAGGGGTGAGCCGCGGCAGGCTCAGCCCCACCCCCCATGGCCCTGATCCCTTCTCACAGGGCCTCCTCCCTGCACCTGCTCCAGGAAGAGCCCTGTCCCCCCCAGAGGGCCCACATGGCAGCATCCAAGAGGCCGAGATGGGGCTCCCTGCCATACCCCGCATCCAGCTGGAAACGGACACCCACCGGCCTTTGATGGCATTGAAGAGTCTGATCCCATCTGCAGGCCCACAGATCTGGACCAAATCCTCCCGAGACATCTTCAGCAAGTCAGCACCTAGGCAGGAAAATGGGGCCGCCCGTTAGTGGGAGACACAGGAAAGCTTCCATCCTCAGGCACCTGCAGACACTGCACTGCGGACAGGGAAGAGTGGGGACAGGAAAGCGTCAGCCTCACGCTCCGCGGGCACCGGACGTTCCAGAGAGAGAGAAACAACAAAAAGCTAAACATCAGGAAATCAAAGCCCGAGAGCGGAGTGGTGTTCTCCAGCTCAGCAGAACAGACGGGCATTTACAAAAGCCGACAGGTCCTCACCAGCTGTGCCCGCCCGCCCATCCCTCCCTCCGTACCGTTTAGCGCACTAACACAAGCACACATAACCCAGCACAGGACACTGAGGACCCACGCTCGTCAAAGCGCAGAAGTGCGCAGCTCCCTGCCTGTGGCCACCTCAGTGCGGCCACGCTCCGGCACACGAACGAGAGGCAGACGTTCCCGCCTCCCACTGGCACCCGCGCCAGCCACGCACCCACCTCTGGGGAACCACCGTCCTGACTCCTCATCTCCTTAAACTTTGCCTGAAACTTTGAAATTTATGTAAGGGGAATGGACAAGGATGCACTTTTCCTATGTCCAGCTCCCTCCTTCCCAGTTCTGTTTAAAGGCTCATTCATGCCCATTATTACATATTCTTCATCGCACGAGTACACCACAGTCCCATGTCCATTCTCTGCCGATGGGCACCGGGGTTGCTCCCAGCTCGGAGTAATTATGAATAAAGGTCTATGAACATCCCTACTGTGGATGCAGTCCCGTCCTCAAAGCCCAACAAGTCCCCTAGAGCCTTGTGCCCTAGGACTCTCCAAGGGACAAGTATGCTATCACCTTCCCCTGAAAACCAGCCAGCAGTCACATGGCCAGGAGCAGTAACATCCAACCCCTTTTTCCTGCCATAGTTCAGAGACAGTTTCAGGCATGATTCTGTCAGCACAAAGGCTCCCTCTACATGACAAGGAGAAGCCAAAATCCTCCACTGTTCTACCAGGCCCCTCGGTCTCTTTCTGACCTCACCTTCCCCAGTCCACTTGGCCCCACTCACCTGGGTGCCAGGCTCCGTGGCCTCACCAGGCAGGCCCCCACCTTGTGGCCTTTGCACTTTCCGCCTCCTTGGACATTTCACTGTCCCCCGAACCCACTTAGCTCCCGTCCTCCCCTGGGCCTAGCCTCTGCTCAAGGGCACTGTCTCTCTTTGGCACCCCGAAAATGGCAGCATCCCTCCCTGCTCCTCCCCAAAACGAGCCAGGCCCCTCCTCTGAGCCTGCCCACCACCACAGGGTCACGCAGCACTGAAACATGGGGTCCGCACACCTGTGCAGACTCAAAGCTACAAGCTCCCTGGGAGCTCAAGGGAAGCCCCTGCAAAGCTGAGCTCAAAGACGACTGTGAGCAGTTTTCCTTCCACTGTCACAGATGTGCATGGGAGCCACCGTCCTAGTTCTGGTCAATATTTTACTCCCGGTCGTTCTGGATCGCCTCGACTTGGTGGCAGGGTTCACCGCTCTGCTTACCTTTATGCCCCAAGCCCTGGCCCCGGGTCTGTCTCTGACAGCCCCACTGGTGAGGGCTTGAAGGAAGCCGCAGCTTCCTCTCCTCCCTGCGGCTTCACTGTCATCTCCCAGGTCAGGGCTCCAGAGACCGCGTGACACACATGGGGTGGTGGGGAAGAGCCAGAAGGCTTGCCGAGTGTGCCCCAGCCCACCTGGTGCAGGGGGCCCTTCCTGGGCAGACTGGGACCCACCCTAGGGGACCCAGGTAGTCCTCCCTGAAAGCCACACTCGACTCAGAACTCCCTACGGACAGGACCCCTCCTTTAGCACTTGGCTCAGGGTCAGCAAGCGTGAGTGACCCATGCCATACCGAGTCCCAGCCCGGCAGGCAGTGCGGCCAAGTCCGGGAAGCCGCCTGGCTTTGTGACGTGTCTGTAGGATCCCCATGGGTTCCCCCAACAACACAGGGATGCGCACCCGAGAAGCTGGCGAAGAGCCGGCAGAACTGGGAGAACCTGTTCCGGTGCAGCCACTGCTGGGCGTCCTGGATGGAGGCTGACGGAAGCAGGTGCTGCAGGCAGAGACAGAGGAGGGGCCTTGACATGAGCACGCCGGGTCTGCCCAGGACACACAAGCCGGAGAGCCCAGCGGCACACACTTACATCATTGCCCAGCGGCACGGTCTCCACCGGGTGCGTCGGGGAACTGTTCCTGCAAAGAGAACCGGCGATCAGTCGTGGGCACAGCCCCCTCTCCCAGTGTAGCGCTCCCCCTCCCCTCACGGAATGGCCCTCACTGCAAATGCAGCAGGGCCTCAAGAATTCCCCAGGTCGGAGACATGTTGGCAGAACTGCCCACGCAATCCCTCAAAATCCCTGACCAGCCCTCCAGGGCGGACACGACGTTCTGGCTGGCAACAAAGCACAGCCAACAAGCACCCCTCTAGCCCGAGCTCAGGGTCTACAGAGTCTCCCACCCCCTACTCCCGCCAGCCTCGGCCCCACGGGAGGGTAGGCTGCCCAAGGATCCCCAAGCACCGTTTGGGTGCCCAGACAGCAGCAGCCAAACCCCTGTCTGCAGAGGCAGAGAGGGCTTTGGGCTCCTGGGAGGGACCCGCCCTGAATAGGGAGCCGCAGTCTGGCACCCACTGACGAGGAGAATACAGTCATGGCTGGAGGCACCTGCCCTCCCGCCAGGGTTCACTCATGGGGAAGGCACATACCTAACACCTGCATTTTTAAGTTAAGAGGAAGATACAGTTTTAAATATAAAATGACCCTCCCAGACAGAGACTGGAGAAGGCACAACACGGAGGGACACAGGTGTCTCACTCTGATTTAAACTGACAAGCTGGGGTGACTCTGTGTGCACCTTACCACAGTGACACTAAAGAAAAGGCCCTCACTGGGATGACCCTCAGATGGGTCATCGGTGACAAGAGCTGCTCTCTGTGCAGTGTCCGTGAGGCGCACCGTCCCCCAACCCCGCACCAATCCTCACCCCCTGCTAGTGGAGAACGTGAGGCTGTAGAAGGTTAAGAACTCACCACTCACCCCAGAGTGGGGGATTTAACACTGGGTCCACCTGAATCTGAACATGACACCTAGGCTTTGTGCCCCTGCCCTTCTCAAGGAAGCCCCCTGTGACCTTGTGAAATCAAGTTCACGGACACACCCACTCTCCTGTTAGTCAAGGTTTCTGCACGCCAAGCACGGGCTCTGAGGCGCCCACAGGTTCCACACCTACCTGCTAAACCTGCCTGGGGTCTCCCTGCTCCTGCTGTCCCCTCCCCCCAGAAATAGGATCAGGATGTGCACAGCCATCACAGTGGTGCCCTGAGCCCTTCCTGCGCCCCACAGCCTGGGACAGGTCCGACTGATGCCCGCCAGCCCCTGCACGACTGTCACCTCAGACGCAGTGTGGCCTGAGCACTTCCAGAGCCGGGTGAGCGGGAGCGAGGCCACTCCTGTGGGACAATCCCTGAAGCCCAGGCCAGGGAACATCCTGAGCTGACCCATGCTGCCTGGAGAATGCGCACAAGGACCGCAGAAAGAACGAGGACGGCCCCTCGCAGCCGCCGGGGCCACCAGAATGGCCGCCTCCTAAGGCTCCTTCTGTCGAGAAGGCATTCTGCCCTGGAGGGCACCCACAGGCCAACCTGCTTCCACGGTGGGGGGAAGGGGTGGGAGGCTGGGTCCTGGGCTGCTACCCCAGCAGACAGTGCTTACAGAAGCGTGTCCAAGCACAGAAACCCGTGCAAATATTCCAAGTCCCGCCCTGAAGCGCATGCTGATGCCAGCATACCAAGGCGGGGGTGGGGGGGGGGGGGTGGGGGGGGGGGCGGAGGATACAGAGGAAAGATCAAGAAAGGAGCCTAGATCCATCATCAATCCAGGAGCCCCAAAGGGAGAGAGGGCAGACATACCCTTCACCAAGGCCGAAGCTGTTTGGAGAGCCGTTGTAGCTTGGAGATGGAGCACTGTTCACCTGGTAGGCCATGTCCGGCCATGGGGAGCACTGCAGAAAGAGCACAGGGCAGCAGTGACTCAAGGGCCATGACAGGAGGAACTCGGCTACAGAGGTACTATCCCAGCTCCTCTCTCTCCCAAACCAGCATCCATCGAGGCCAGCACAGGACACCATGGATCCCTCAACATTCTCCCACAATCTCCCAGGCCCCACATGAGGCAGCGGAGTGTGAGTTTCCTAGGGCCATGCCCAAGAAATCAAACCCGGCAGAGAAGAGACCTAAAATTCAGTCATTCCCAGAGCAAGTAAAGCAAGGCATGTGTCTCTGTGAGCTTTCTAGCAGTCGAATCACCAAGGGAAACATCATCCATCCCCTGGGTCCACAAGAAAAGAGAGAGAGCTAACGACACAGGCCAGCTGCCCAGAGGCAGGTTTTCCAGATACCGACAAATGTGTGTCCACGCACAGAAGAGGGAGCAATGGACACAGATAACTTCCAAACAAAAGTCATCAATGAGGTTCAGTACTGGGGCACCTGGGGGGCTCGCTCAGTCAGTCAAGTGTCCAGACTCTTGGTTTCGGCTCAGGTCACCATCTCAGGGTTGTGAGTCAGGCTCCATGCTTAGCAGGGAGTCTGCTTATCCCTCTCCCTCTGCTCCTCCCACTATTCTCTTTCTCCCCACACCACCACCAATCCCCCCTGCCAAAATAAGTAAGTAAGTAAATAAATATACCTTAAAAATATATATACAGGAGTTCAGTACTAAAACCTGCACTATTTGAAAACAGAATCAGCCGACAGGCCCTGGAGAGCAGAAGGTACGTAAGTGCCTCCAAGAGCAGGCCAACCCCTCTGGACATCACTCTAGATCTGTTACACGTCAGGCGTCCTGCTAGGAGCTAAGGGAGACACAGAAGACACGAAAGATGTGATCCCTGACCTCAAGGTACTTTTGTCCAGAAGCCAAAAATGAACATACATGAGAATCACCCAGACAGAGACAGCAAAGACATACAGGTTTTGCCTGGTGGGGAAGCCAGTGGGCCAAGTATTCACTTTTTTCCCTTCCCTGTGATGACACCTCCTCAGAAAGGGCCAATATGAAGCATTCCTGAAGATTTACTATCACCCACCGAGCCACAGGCTGGTGAATATTTAACTCTGTTGTGCGTGTGGACTGGAATGCCGTGGTGCTAACCCCGGGAGTGGAGGAGATGTCGACAACCTGTCACGGGCTGGGGGCAGGCTGGGGTTTTCTCCAGCAGCACCGCGTGCTGACAAGGGCTTAGACAGACATGGTCTGAAGCAGCCCCAGAGCCCTCCTCCAGTGAGGGCATGTCCAAGGAGAGTCAGGAGCAGAGAGGGTCAGGCTCAGCCTGGAATGGAAAGGGGTCTGGAGGCAGAGGGTGGTGGGAGTGTGGAGGGCACCCTGGGGGGCCTGGCACTCTTCTGCTGCTGAGTGAGTAAGCCAGGCTCTCCCTGCACCACGGCTCTCTGGCCACTGTCACTCTGAGCCATCTGAAACGCCACTACAGATCTGTCTGTGCCGCAAAGTTAGCTTCTGTACTCTGCCTTGCCGCAAACACCCTTCTGCATACAGCTTATTACACATGCTCGCACACACACACCCCTCCCAGGACCAGCCACTGTTCTCTTAGCTGCTCTGTGCCCAGGGCCTCATTTTAACCACAGCTGTAACCCCCACCACGGCCAGTGCTGGGCCTTGTGCATCTGTGGGGAGCCTTCTGGGCCAGTCGCACTAGGCAATGAACAAACACTCCCGAGTTGGGCTGACTGCAGAATGCAGTGAGGAATAGTTGGAATTTTTGCTTTTTTAAAGAAAAAACAGAGCCCAGGAAAAGGTGGCTCCAGTGGTGACAAGTCACAGGAGGAAGCAGTGCCTGTGACAGTGTTCATCTCAGAAGTACACTGGACACAGGGACGCCATGAGAGTCCGAGTTGGGGGAAAGGCACTGCATTCCAGTATCCATCCCAACTGCAGAGCAGCTAGTAGTTCACACCCCCTGAGCCAGTGAGCCTGCTGAGACTTCTACCATATGCAGACCTTCACGCCACCGCGGTCACTTGCAGCCCCCTATTGACCAACAGCAGGAGCCCAGGAAGCACCAAATGTGCACCAACAGGCCATCATCCACACAACGGAGCCACGCCTCTGGATAAAGAACCAGAAAGCTCTGTACGAACAGATGGGGAACAGACTCCAAGCAAGGCTATTAAATAAAGCAAGCAAGTTACAGAACAACGTGTCTATGTACACTGTCAGTGTAAAAACAGCGGGCGTGGGTACACTGGCTTCACCAGCAGAGGAAGCTGGGCCACGTACGTGAAGACCCAGGGATGACAGCTGTCCTGGGGAGGAAAGCTCGAGGCTAGGACAATTTGGAGAGAGGTATTTTCTGATGCATACACACTCTCTTCTGTTGGATTCTGGGCCTTCACCTATTAAAACAATCAGCTGACTCCGGAAACTGCCAAGAGCACAGAACTGGAAGTTACTTTGGAAACACTGTCCCGGCCCCCTGGGCTTATCGCGTGAACACAGCTCTGAACCCAGGAACCTAACAAATTTCATGGGCACTGTCAAAAGAGGCATCCATTCCCCAGTGGGCAAGTTTCAAGAATCTAAACCAAAAGGCAAAAGGCCCAGGGCGGCAGGGGGATGGCATGCACCTCGACACCAGGCCAGCTCACCTCTGTGAGAATGGTGGTCTCGTAGGATGGCTGGTACTTCTCCTTCTCCTGGGCCGTTCTTTTCTCCATCTTTTCCCGGTCGGTCTTCTGTTTCCTGTCAGCTCCCTTTGGCTACAAGTGTGGAGCACAGGGGTCCCATTAGTCCAGAGTGGGCAGAGGCAGCTCTCAGAGAAAGACCCAGGGCTTGGTGACAGTCCCCAAGGCCTGCATGCTCCCTGCCTCTCCCCAGGGCCCAGGGGCCAGGAGTCCAGGCAGGATCTCTGGATGGGACAGCACCTCCCACACCTCCCAGGTGTTAAGCACTCAGTCTTCTTCCTGGAGCCCTTCCCCTTCCTCACCCGAGGGCACTCACGGCCTGCCACAGGGTCCTGCCACTCAGCTGCTCAGGGGGAAATGCTTGCAAATAATCTCTACCAGAGGCCACTGCCCCTTGGACAAAACCTTTGGGAGCACAGCAAACTGCAATGAGTTCCTTCGGTTACCGGTGGAGGGTGAAGGAAATGGAAGAAGTCAGGGCTACTGGTGGGAGTCTAGTCTGCAACTGTGTGCTGGGAAATCCTGGACGCATGGTCAAGGTCTCCTGACCCCTCCAACTCCCAGCACCAGCGTGCAGGTCGCTGCTGGCACACCTCACATGGGATACCCCCTCCAGCTTCACAGAGCTTGTCTTAGGCGCCCAGCAAACGTGAGCAACTTACAGAGGCACTACGATTTCCATCATTTACAGGTAAGGAAACTGAGGCTCAAGTGACTTGGTAAGAATGGAGAGGAACATGCTGCCCTAGCTGGTCAGAGTCTTCAAAAACCAAAAAAAAAAAAAAAAAACCAAAAACGCGAAGCAGAAACAAGTGCTGACCAGGTGAAAATCCAAGAGAGCGTGTCCCGGTATATACCACCAGCATGGACCTAGCAGCCCCACTCCCAGGACACTCACAGCCTGCTTAGTGGCTCCCAACACTGACTCCCAGCAGCCCAGAGCCCAGAACTGCGCAGTCTGCCTGCGGATGCCACAGACCAGGCATAGGGCACACTCAGTGAAAACCATCTCCTCAATGCCCCCCTTTAGGGACTTTCATCCCAGAATGCACCTTCCTCATGCCATGTAGCTTCTTGTTTCCAGCTCAAGGGCATTTTAGGACACAGCCCTGAGGATGATGTGAGACCCACATTAGACAAAGCTGAGTTTGCAGGGGGTCCTCTGGGGACAGCAATGACAGATTTGGTATTCTGAGAAAGACCAGGCCCGCAGTCCCTAAACCCCCATCATCTGCCCCACCAACCCCCGTCCCGGCTCCTGTCCCTAACAGGAGGCTCGTCCTCCCTGTCCAGAAACCATGGGGCAAGCCCACGTGTGGGGTCGGCACTTGGCCCGGTGAGGCCTGTGGAGAGCTGGCTGTCAGGGAGGGGTCCTGCCTGTCCCATCAGAGGCCCTGACACTCCTCCCTACCCCGAGCCCCAGCTCCTGGCTCCAAAAAGCAGGAGGCTTCCCAGTGACAGGTGACAGGGGTAACAAGGGTGACTGGGGGTGGAGAAATGACAGCCAAGCTGGTGAGACCACCTGGCGCTTGCACACACCTGCTGGCACTGCTTCTGTGATGGGGCTGGGTACGTGGGGCATCCATACCTCCCCAGGAGTTCTGAGAAGCCACCTTCAAGTGACAGGGGCCCCCATGCCCCTGCAGGAGATGCCAAGGCCTTCCCTGGGCCACTCAGACAAGGCAGCTTCAGATCCATTCCTCAGTGATAGGTGGTGTGTGGCCCAGGAGCCTGGTGGGCAGAGCCCTCACCCCTGAGCTTCTGCCTCGAGGTGTAGAAAGGGGAGCTGCTAGGGGGCCATGGGAAGGCCTAGGCGCTCTGGGGATGGGGACGTGGGGGCAGACATGGTCCATCTCTCATGCCCAGTGCAGCCTCTGAACCCAAGGAATCCCACTGGATGCCACTGGACCAGAGGACAAGGACGACTAGCAGGACCACACATGTGGTCTGTACAAGGGAAGGACAGAGATATGACTGGGACAGGCAAGGACATCCGGCAGCGCAACTATGGGGCCGTCCACAGCAAGTCAGAACGGCGAGAGCCCAGAGCAGGCCATAAAAAGACCAGAGGCTGCAGCGCCCACTGCACCAATGGACGGGTTTAGTCGAGAAGTGCTCCCCAAAGATGGCCACGTCCTCACCCCCAGGACCCTGAAGCTGTCACCTCACAAGGCTGCAGGTGGAATCACAATAGCAAGCAGCGGGAGACAGGACAGGAAAATGATCCTTCGGCATCCCAGGGGGTCCAACGTCATCACAGGGCCCGTGAAAAGTGGGCGAGGGATAGGGGAGAGGAGGCTGGAGTGGCGTGACCACAAGAGCCCAGCACTCCTGCCAGCTCTGAGGAAAGGTGGATGGGCCACAGGCGGAGGAACACAGAAGCCTCTAGAAGCTGGCAAAGGGAAAGAGAGGGAGCCTCCGGAAAGGAGTACAACCCTCCTCACACCCTGACTTAAACCCAGTGAGACCTTGTGAGGCTGTGGATCTCCAGCCCTGAGAGGTAATACATGTGTGTGGCCTGAAGCCATGAAACCGGTCATCATTTGTTCCAGCAACAACAGGAAAACAACTACGGTGGCCTTGCAAGGAGTCACCATCCTGAAGCCGGTTTCTGAGGGGGCTACCGCACTGGCCCAAAAGACGCTCCCACCATGACCAGCGCCTTCCCACCTGGGGCAGAATCACTAACTGAGCCAGAGCCCACCCCTCCCTCACCCCTGCAGAAGCCACAGGCTCTGCTGTGACCCTCCATCTCCCCAGGCCACTGCCCATCTTTAGGCAGCAACGGTCCAGACAGATGAGATGAAGAGTAGTTAGTTAACAGGCAGGTGCAGGGGGTGGGCCGGGAAGGAAAAGAGAGGAGGTCCCTGCAAACGTGTTTCCTGCTCCAACAGGAGGCCGCTGCAGAGGGAGATGCGGCTTTGGGCCCTCCATAAAAACATCTGGGGCCGGGACGCCCACACGCCGCCTCCTGACCTGATTTTTAAGGCGACTCTAAAGGGCAACTACAGAATCCGTGGTCAACTAAAAAGTGCTCGGGAAGAAAACAAAAACGTAAAAACGTTCAATTCCAGACAGTCTTACAAAGCAGAGCTGGGCACAGCCACCAGTGATGCCAGATGACAGAAGGTGCCCCGTGCAACAGGACACCCACGGGGGG